TGAAGACAGTACTAGCTTGACAACAAAGACACAAAAGCAGAGATTTGAAAATATTTGTATACTTATTACTCAGAATTAAACAGTAGTAAAAACTGGATTTTTTATTTTTATTTTTGTTTGTTTTCTGGTACCAGGGCCTGAACTCAGGACCTTGAGCTTGCCAGACAGGCACTTATTCTACTGAGCTATCCCCCTGGCTAAAAACTGGATTTTTTAAAGCCTTCACTTTTAAGATTCTTTTCTGTACGTATGACATAAGAAACTAAATTATTATGATATCATTTCACAAGAACATCAAGTAAGTTAGAATCATTTTCACCTTTCACGCACAAGTAAGGTCCACACTTGTAAGATACCATGGTGAAATGGATGATGCTACTTTGGAATTAACTGTTCCAAAGGCTAAAATCTTGAATGCTGACAGACTCTGTAAAAAACTTAAAACTCATGCATGGGATGATCATGTATATCATGGCAAGTAAATATGAAGGGCATAGAGTAAAAAGCTTACACCTCTCTGGTTCCTTGACAAGTAAGGAATTTTATTGAAAAGGGTTGTTCATTAAAAAAAACATGCAAATCAGAATCAAAGACAAGAAAAACAGAAAAGGATATGTCAATGAAAAAGATGAGAAAGACTTCAGATTAGCATTATGAAAACTGAATTTTTAATCTTGTATTCACATGAAAAATAAAATTACTGAGAAAAATGATTTGGGTTACACTATGAATGTGTCATGAATTACTGAATAACTTTTAGTAAATACTTTTAGTTCTGTGAGTTTTATTTTCTAGACAGCAAAAACAGACTTCCTGAATGCTCTATACAGTATGATTTTTAAAGTAAAAATAAGAGAATGAAATCAAACAATGGCTTGTGAAAAATATCTTGTTCTTTATTCCTAGTACTTCAGGTTTTCCTAATATAAATATATTCTCTTTTTTCCCTTCAATGTAACATTTTATTCATGATTCATTATTCAAAAGTTACCTGTCCAACTATAGTTTCTAGTCCAAAAACCTGTTTTATACCTAATAACAAAACACCTATCTTTCAACCACTATCATTAGATAACTCTCTTAACATTATAACAGCTGTGTTAGTGTCTGCAAAAATAAACTTGCAAATAAACCAGAGGTGAGGGCTGGGGAGATGGCTCAGTAGACTAAGCACTTGCCTGGCAAGTGCAAGGGCCTGAGTTCAATCCCCGGTTCTGGAAAAAAAAAAACAAAAACAAAAACAAAAATAAAACAGAGGCTTCCTAATGTTGGTATCTGAAGAAAATAAAAACAAAAATATATTTTGAAAGAAAAATTTTTACTAGCCTCTCATGAAACATTTTTTTTAGAGTATTTCTGAGATACTATAATACTGATTTTACAAACAACAAAATGGAATGGATGACTAGATAATTTACTGAGAGTTACACAACTATTAGGAGCAAAGCTAAGAGAAAAACAACCATTCCTGACTGTAAAACCAATGCATAAGGCCTGCTGGTCAGATAGCTCAGTGGATTAAAGCACCTGCTTAGGCAGATGCAGGGACTAGGGTTGGATCCCAGGAGCACCATTCCAACCCCGTCCCCAGGGCACACTTGAGATTGGGTGTGGAGGTGCATGCCTGTAATCCCAACACTTGGGAGGCTGAAAAACAGGAAAGATCACTACAAAGACAATCTGTGTAGTGAAACCCTGTAATAAATAAATTTTAAAAAATTAATATATAAAACCTATGCAAATCAGGTGTGAATGCCTAAATTTTCCATATTTCTTTTTAATAATGGTTCGTTGTCCGTTCCTTAAGAGTTTCATTTTTTAGACAAATACTCTATTTCTGTACTGATCATAAAAATGCTCTTTGTAAAGATAATTCTCGTCTATACTAAAAAGATAACATGGGAATAATCAAGTCTGAAAACAATCTTAAATCATTTAAAACCATCTCTAAAACGTGTCTGTTTCCTTTTACCTAATTTGAAAAAATAAAAGATAAATGATAACTAAAAGTGTCAAGGTAAAATAAACCTCTAAATTTTTTTTAATTTTTTATTTTTTTGGCGGAACTGGGGATTGAACTTAGGCCCTTGTGCTTGCCAGGCAAGAGCTTATTCTACTGAGCCATCTCCCCGGCCGCTAACCTTTAAATTTTAGATAAGTGATGGTGATAAAATTATTGAAGTCTATCAATTCACCTTAAAGTAGTTATCTCTTATAGGAAAGTTCAAAAACTCACTCTGCTAATTGGGGGGGGGCATATCTCACTAATGAAAATAATGCCTTCACAAGTATCATTCAAAAGCAGATGAGCCAGGTATGGTCGAGCATGGCTATATTCCTAGAACAAGGAAGGGTGAGGCAGGAGGAACACTGCAAGTTCAAGGCTGGCCTGGGCTACATAGTGAGTTCAAAGCTAGCCTAAAATATATAATGAGACCTTGCCTCAAACCACTCCCACTCCACAAAAAGCATATAGTCTAAAAATCAATTTTAGAACTATGAAAGTAGAAATGATAACACTAAGAAGTGTCTGCAATAAGTGGCAGTATTGAAAGGTAAATGTAAACATACAATGATGATCTATCTATCTTGGCTTTTTAAAAAAAGAGAATCAAAGATGTGACTGATCATTATGTTGTCTTTATCTCTTTTAAGGACAAAACTTTCTGGCAGGTGGGCAACAAGTACCAACTCATCTATTTGCACAAAAGTACCAGGCTAAAGCAGACATGCATTTACTATTATTTTCTACTGAGAAGACACTGTGCTATGTACTATGGACACGTGGGTATTTCTCCCACCACAAATGAAGCTGTTTCATGTAGTTAGCCTCTTCTGGAGCCATAGATCTCCCACCAGGGTATTTTATTTGGAGGGGAAGAAGGACTAAGTTCTTTAACAGCTAGCCCGTTCTCCTGCATTCTTCACAGACAAGTTCAAGATCAGAGTTTGTACAAGCAGGCTCAGTGCCAGAGGTCCATCCCCAGGCCTACTGTGCCAGCCCTGCCCAGGAGGCGCACTGGGACAACAGTTGAGATTGGATGTGGTGGCTTAAGCCTGTAATCCCAGCTCTTGGGAGGCTATAAAACAGGTGGATCAATAAGAGTCTGATCTAGTAGTGAGACTGTGAACATCCTACAGATTCTTCCCTAAAAAAAAAAAAAAAATTAAAAAAAATCAGAGTTTGGAGGTCTATGAATCAGTTTAAAAGGCCTGTAATGGCAAAGGTAGGGTGCACCTACATGTGAGGTTAAGTGGGTTGTTCTACTTTAAAAATAAGCAAGTAGGCCATTAACAACTTTTTTTTGGGGGGGGGTTGGGTATCAGGAATCAAAGTCAGGATCTTGCACTTGTCAGAAAGACACTGTGCTGCTGAATTATATATCCCTAGCCCCTTAATAACTAATTTATTATTTTTTAAAAAATCTTATTTATTTATTTATTTATTTACATGGTACGAAGTCTCACTACGAAGCCTGGACTCATGGTGATCTTCCTGTCTTAGCCTCTCCAGTGCTGAGATTACAGACATGTGCTACCATGCCCAGAGTCAGTAGCTGGCAAGGCACACCTGGGGTTCAGGGCCTGGCACAGCATGCAGTATTGGGCATGGAACCCAGGTCTATGCGCTTGCCAGGCAGGCACTTAGACTGTCAAGCTATCTCCCCAGTCCTACAATTAATTTATTAACTATGACAACTGATGGAGCTTTAAAATATTTTCAATAGTAGCACATATTTTAAAAATGAGAAACTGAAAATGTAAATACGGACCAAAATGTATATGTAACAGATATTGTGATATAGCAAGGAAATGTTCAAATGGGAAGGGGCACTAGAGAGAGGGAGGGAGAAAGGAAGGATGAGAAAGAACAAAAAATTGGAAACAAAGTTTTTGTAAATGAGGGGAATAAAAAGGAGAGGAATGTGGGAAAAAGAATTAAAAATATATCACGTACAGATACAAATTCTCTGATGAATGTGATCACTGCATCTATCTAAAATGTACCAATAAACTTAATTAAAAAATAAAATATACTCTCTTAAAAAATAAAATATACTCTCTTAAAAAATAAAATAAAATGAGAATCTCACTCCAGGCAGTGTGGTTTTACTGCTTAGTAAAACAAACAAACAAAAAAAAAAATAAATAAAAAAACCAAGGCTGGAAGTTAAAACAATGAATATGAGAAAAAGATTTCAAAATTAAGCATCACTGTATAAAAAATGATCCATGTGAATACAAATATTTTTGAAATATTCCAGAGATCTGTTATATTTGGTGCTTGGATCAAATTTTTAAAAGGTGAGATTTGTATAGCCTTCTTAAAAACTGGTAGAGAAGGCAATTAAGCCTGTTTATACATTTTCTAGTAACAACTATAAGAAATGTGCTTTATAGATTAAGATTTATTTAAGTGTAAATATGCAGCAATGATATAATGTAGTATTTTAAATTATACAAAAAAACAGGAATTTTTATTTGATCTTTTTTTTTTCTCCTTGTGGCTGAGAAGAACCAAGTCATCAACCAATAAAGCTACAACCTCCTGTTCTAGAAAAAATAAAAAAACAAAACCATGTATATAAGCCATACTGCTAAAATATGACAACTATCAAAAAACTGTAAATTCTACCACTTTTTTTTTTTTTTTGGATTGATTGACTGGTTGATTGACTTTTGGCAGAACTGGGGATTGAACTCAGGCCCTTGCACTTGCCAGGGAAGCTCTTATTCCACTGAGCCATGTCCCCAGCC